AACAAAATCATCACAACTGAGAATCATTTTCAAATAAAAATCACACTTCACAGCAATGAGCCAAACTGTAAAAATTTTGCCCTTTGACACATTTATTTTAATCAAGTTTTCCAACGAGGATGCGCTATCTACAATATGAAAACAATTTTTACTAGATAAAATGATACTAAATGAGGAAACACAGGAAACATGCATTTCCAGCGCACACCCACACAAAAACTCAATGTAAACTCCGTGAGAGCAGAGATTGGTTTCAGATTCTTCCTAATCTGTTTTGTACACTGTTGAATCCCTAGAGCCTGTAATAATGCCTGCACATGGTCAGTGCACAAAAAATTTTTTGAATATTTTTTCAAGTCATTTTGCTCTGATTTTGATGTTAAAATAAGCATTATAAAGCTTACATGAAGTGTGTTTTTTTTTTTTTTTGCTCAATTGTAATTCTTGTTTCCAAGTAACATGCTATTAATCAAGTTCTAAGGTTTCAGAATTTACAGCAGAACAGTGAAGTATGGCTTATGGCCTGTTTGTGCAGGCTCTCAAGCTAAGAATGGTTTTTATATTTTAAAAGATTTATAGAAGACAGAAAATGAACAAAACAGACCCATATATGGGCCACATATTTGTGGCCCACACAATCTAAAATATTTACTATCTGATCCTCATATACACAGATATGCTTTTAGCAATTCTGAAACTACTTTGTGTGTATCTTAGAATTGAGCAAATAATAAGTAAATATATTAAAGATAACTGAAGCCAGGTTTCTCACTGTCAGAGAAAGGAATTACATTTGGAAAGGGGAGAGGCTAGAATGAACCCTATATCGTTGGTCAGGAATTGGAGACATTTCAATGACCTTATCGCTTTTTAGATAGATACAAAACGGATAAGGAATTTTGTGTGTATATAATTTCAGGAAAAGTTTGCTGAACCCCTTAGACTCGAGATTACACACACACACAGAATGAATGTTTTCTGAATATACATTTTCTTTCACCTATAAGTAGAATCTCACTATTAGACCTTTCACCCAAGCCCTTCACCTCATCTAAACCTCTGAGTTTTGTAATGTTATTTGAAGAATTTTCAATAAATGGTTTGTTGTTGTGGTTTTTTGTCAGAGCATAGTGGTTATAATGCTGAAGCTAGGAAAAAAGCAGAGGAGGATTAAAGTTAATTATCTTTCATGTTTCACATACTAAAAAAAATAGAAAAGGCAAAAATAAAAATGGAATACAAACAAAAAATTGAACCCAATATACGTTAAATGAATAGCAAAATTACAATAAGAGGAAAAAACTAACCGAGTAATATCTGTACACAGTATTTTAACTATATGCCCTCAAGCTAAACAAAAAATAAATTATAAACAAATATTAAATTCTAGTTAATAGGTGTGTTTTCACAGACATGCTATAATAATTCTGAAACTACTTTCTGTGTATTTTAGGAGTGAGCAAATAATAAGTAAATATATTAAAGATAACAGAAGCCAGGTTTCTCACTGTCAGAGAAAGGAAACACAGAAAGAAGGAAGGCTAGAATGAACCTTACAGTGCTGGACTGAATTGGAGACATTTCAATGAACTTACAGCTTTTTGGATAGATATAAAACAGATAAATAAATTTGTGTGTATATAATTTCTTGTATATCTGTCGATGGATACATAGCCACTAGAACAAACCAGGGTCTCTTGGAGAAATGTCCAATTCTAGGGTTTGGGTGGAAATATTTTATTATACTAGAAAATAAGGGAGTACTCAAAAAATGATAGGTACTTGTCAAAAGAACATAGGAGCCAGCTTGAAGGAGCTCTGACTATTCAAAACTGAAACAATCGGAGTATCAAAAAAACTCAATGAATAAAAAAGAACCCATGAGTTCATACTGATATACATATAAGCATACATAAATGCTGAGAAGGGAAAGCTTGTACAGAACACCAGCTAAAAAATACAGAAATGACAGACTTAGAAAATCGCCATTTGGCAACCATCAGGCAAAAACTGAATGATTGCTAAAATAAGTGGATGAAAATTTGATGAGCAGTAAAGTATTTGCATCAAAATATCTCCCCATAAGATACGTGTTACAAAGGGAAAAATAGTAACTTTATATTAACAGTAGAGAAACCTTGTAGATAAAAGTTAACATCCCCAATAATGGGATTTATGGATATCATGTGCTTCCTATATGATGCACTGAGAACACAATATCACCTCTGGAGTATTCCTGGTAAAAATATAGAACCTGAACCTAATCATGAAGAAACAGACAAATAATACTGAAAGAATTCTAAAAATAACTGGCTTATTCTCATCAAATATCATCTGTAAAGTCATTAACAGACAAGAGTAATCAACTTTCAGATTAAAAAGACTAGAGACAAGACAAGTGAATGTAAGGTGTGATGTAGAATTTACTCTATTAAGGACATTACTGGTACAACAGTGAAATCTGAGTAAGATATGCAGGCAACAGCTTTGCATCAATTTCCTGATTTTGATAATTGTATTATGGTGAAATAAGAGAATGTGCTTGTAAAAAAAAAAAGAGAGAGACAGAGAATGTGCTTGTTTTTAGAAAATACACAGTTATTGAGAGGTAAAGGGCACCATGAATTGCAATTTACTCTCGAAATGTTCAGAAAAAAATTTGTGTATTCGTGAAAAAGTGAGTGATGGTTCTCCTTTACACCTGCGCCAGGGGTTGAGAACTTGGTCCTTCTAATCCCCACTCTAATGCTCACAAAGCTGCATTTCCTTGGTAAAATCACAATTGTGTGCCTCAGTTTCCCTTTTAATAAAATGGGATAGCACCTATCCAACCATTCTCACAAAATTAAACCAAAAATCTGCTGAAACACAGTAAACCTGGGGTAAACAGGTACAGAGTATAAAACATTATATATTAAAAAGTGGTTCACTTTTAACAAATGTTTGGTAAATTATTAATAAAAAGTACTTTGAAAACACATAAGCCAGGCATTTTTTCATCATAGTGAGCAGCTATTGCAGAAACTAGATATTTGCCATATCAGACGTTTTGGTTTGCAAAAATTTTACTTATTCAATATTCATTAAAAGAAGAAAAAGAAGTTTAGAAAAAACATTCTTTTACTCCAAAGGATGTTACCGATAATACTTCAACTATTTCAACAAATTCAAACACCTGTATCTATTTGTTTTAACCATAAAACTTTATGACATTAAAAAACAATACTAAATTAAAGAAAGCCATTAACTACGATTTGGTCAAACTTTAAGATACTGAGACCCAGTATTATCACTGTACAGAGATCTTTATATTTTCCAAGTTCTACATACTAAAATACATGGCACAAACTATTTCATCCTTCACTGACAAGCTATTCAAATGAGCTCTGAGGTGTCACACCAAATTCAGAAAAAAAGTATTTATAAAAGAGACACCAAGTTCCCTCAGGAACTTAAATCAAGGAAAAGTTTGTTTTAAATATAAAAATGAGTAATTTATTCTTAGTAATTTATTCTTCTAAATTCATAACGCATTCATAAAACTTTGGTTACCACTTAAGTTTCTTTAATCATTTGCACATGAAGACTAATTATATCTCATACAAAAGAAAACATCCTTAAAGCTGCATTTTATAAAAATAGCTATGATTCCAAAATATTAAATGGAAATTTTAAAAAATATATGCCAGGCAATTTTGCATAAAATAAATGTAGCTAGTCATATTTTCCCATTGTTGTTAAAACAAGATATCTTTATTTAAGTAAGTTTACCTGCTTTGTCTCTATTTTGAGCAGTAGACAAGCAATCTGGACTCTATGAGGCAAAATGCTGAGAATGGACAAGGCAAGATGAGACTGGAGAGACATGCTATGATCAACACAGTCCCCAGCAAAGAAGCAATACTGGAGTCAGAAATGTCTACCCAGTCTCACTAGCTCTGCACCAAGTTCACTACACACAATGCTGATGAGGCAAAAGGAAAAGGATGATAAGACATAAGCCCCAAAGGGGTACAGTTTTTGCTTGTCTGGTTTACCACTATATCCTGGGAGATAGAAAAATGCCTGGGCCACAACAAGCATGCATTAAGTATTAGCTGAATGAATGAATGAATGAATTAATGAAAGAATGAAATCTTAGGTCTTCCAAGTCAACCTATGTAAGTTACACTAAAGTGGCAGAATTATTTGGAAAACAAATTTGGCATATATTAACTTAATAGTCATAACTGTCTTTAGAGAACATAAACAGCAATCTAGTCTCTATTCTGACTAAATTGGGTAATGTCAACGTTCCTGAGATATTTCTTGACCTACAGTAAGTACTGTAATACATTTATATAGTCTTCTCTAACTTGAAAATATGATTATCACAAACTCTCATAAAACAAAATTAGAAAGATGAAATAAATGCATAAAATCAAAATCACAAAGAGCAAATTCATCATGTTTACCATCAAACTTGAGATAGAATTTGAATTCAGATAAGAAATCACAGGCTAAAGAAACATTTCTCATCAGCATTTAGTGTACCTCTAACACGATCTGCTCCTCTATAATTAGAAACTCAAAATTTTTTGATCTAGTCTTTTTTCTATTGACAAAAATATTTGTCATCTTATAGTTTAAACAAATTCCTCAAAACATGTATTTTATTTCCAATCACCAAATTAAGAGTTCTGCAATTCACTCATACTAAACAGTTATTTCTTTGTAAAATTATGTGGAGCAGAATGCAAGTAAATCTAATAAGAATTCATATAAGATTTATGCTCCCTATCAAGCACATTAAGCAACTTTTTTCCTAATTAACCTATTTTTTGTGAAGCCACTCAACTCATTTCCTACACATTCTCTTTTACGACTACTAATATATTTGAAGTGACAAACTTCATTCTGCTTCCCAAGAACTACCCATATAATCAATACATGATTTCACTACCAATTTAAACCTAACATTTTCCAAAGGGCCTGCCTTATGTGGGTTATCATCATCTTACTATGCTTCTTGTGTCCATGCTGCTGGAAAAGCAGTCTGTACAAGCAGGAGTAGAGGCACAATCCTGAGAGAGAGGAGTAGAGAAAGATGTTGAGAAAACAAAACCAGATAAAAATGAGCTCACTTAAGAGTTCAGGAGCTCAGCCAGTGTTCAAGGTCAAGGTTGATTACATTCTCTCATACCATTAAGAGTTAGAAGTTGTCCGATTAACAGCAAAACTGGCCCTAGAAAGAGACATTTGAAATTGCCTATACAAGCAGTACATCATCACTAATTCTAAGCCACCTATACCCCTCATTTAAAAAAAGCCAATGATCACAAAATATGACTATTTAGAAGACCAAGAATACAAAAGTCTCCCAAACGTTAATCTAAATTACTACAACAAACTCAGTCTAGACTAGAATAAGATGGCTGAACTATACATGAGACATGGATTTTAATCTTGTCAAAAAATTCTTTATATTTAATCTTAGGTGATTAAGACTTCAGCATTCTCAAATTATGCAGACTCAAAATCATTTTCAACCAACTCAATTATCCTTGTATTTTGAATTTTTTAATGTAAGAAAAAAAACTTTTACTATATGTCTTTTCAATGAGAAAAACAACAAAGCAAAACTAGATTTGAAAATAGAAACCATAATTACTATACAACAAAAAACTCAGGATGGCTTTAACCTAACTGGAATCTTCAATGGAACAGTCCCCTCCCCACATCTCCTCCCCAAAGTAAGCAAAATTATAAACAGATCAGAGTTCTGATTTAAAATTTTCCATCTAATCTTCCTATACCCCTAACACTACCATAAAATGACCTTTAAAATAATGCTTAGACATTCTAAGTCCTCCAAAATATTAACTTCATATTAAATTAGTCAAAGAAACTTCCTACTAACAGGGAACCTAAACATAATCTCAAACAATTTATTTTAAAATCAAATGTCCAGAAATGTTAACTACCTTGGCCAAGGTCCCAGCTACCTAGTATATCATCCATCCATCCATCCATTCACTCAAGAAATCTTTATTTAGAATATGAACTATGCATTAAGATACTGTACTGCATACCAAGGATATGAACCAATGAGGACACATGGTCACTGTCCTCACAGAGCTTATAGTCTAGCGGTAAATACTAATTACTTAAAATTGTAGTAATCACTAGAAAAAAAGTAGGGAGTGTTTTAAGACAGTTTAACAGGGGACCTAAATCACTGGTTCTCAGTCAAGTTCATTTTGTTCCTAAGGGATATCTGGTAATGTCTGGAGACATTTCTGGTTGTCACACTGGGGAGGGTGCTACTAGCATCTAGTGGGTTGAAGCCAGGGATGCTATCAAACATCCCGCAATGCACGGGACCACTACCCAAGCAAATAATTACCCAGCCCCAAATATCAATAGCGCCAAGGCTGAGAAACCCTGATCTAACCATGGGGGCAGGGGGGATCAGTGAAGACTTTCTTCCTTTATAATGTTTAAGTATGCTACATCTTTAAAGGATTTCACAAGGTAGAAACAAAAAACTCCCAGTAGAACATGAAAACAGAAAAAAAAAAAAAAAAAATGGAGCCACACTCCCCTGGTAGATGAAAAATAAAGACAAATGCAATGTTTTATAGCTGTTTCACATAAATTCCCTTTCCTAAACCATATATGAAGGGAAAAAATACAAACTAAAAACAAATTTCACATACTTTTATTATTCCTTCTACCTTTTCCATTTTCTCTACCAACCCATGTCTATTATAGGTGGAAAGACTATAAAAAGTCCTGTAGCTAGACAAAATGCCCACTTTGGACACAAAATTAGAAATAAAGTAAAAGGGAGATGGGATTTCACTTTGTAAAACAGGAAAACATATTGGATGTTAAAGTGATTCAGGAAAGTCTACATCCCAGAACAGTTTAAAGAGTAAGCTACCTAATTAAAGGATCCTAAAGGACATAAGGATTTAGGTATCCTAAAGATAGTAAAAGGTAATAGAATCCACTCAGAATTTATGAAACAAGGTAAATCCAAATATTAAATTGAAATCATTTTCCTGACACATCTCAAACCTACATATCTGATCCTACACCTTCCCACTCAGCCTATGTAAGCAGCAAGAGAAATGGATCATGAGGTTTTGGAAAAGCTATAGTAATGCAACTAGCTATACAAAGGACCTAAAAAAAATTGATCACTGACTGGTATTTGATTATGTTAAAGATTTAGTGTTAGTTTTTCTGAAGTGTGGTAACAGTATTGGGGCTATTTTTTTTAAGTCCTTAAAAATTAAAAGAAACCAATAAACAAGTAAAACTCACCTCCTCCAGTTACTTCATCTAAATGTAACCGATGCTAACAGGTTCTTATATTTTTCATATATTAATATTTCTTTAAAAGCTGCTATGTTTTAAAATGCCCTCTCCAATAAAGTTGAAATTTTCCGAAGAGTCATACACTGCCATCCTGTCCCTCAACCTCTTTTCAAAAAAATTAAATAGAAAGAGAGATACCCTACCAGAATGACCTCTTTATAGTAATCATATTTAAGTACAGAATATAGATATGCAGCTCACATAAAACTGCTGCATTCTAGCAATCAATGCAGTCCTAAACTGGTCCACAGATGTAAGCAGTCCAATATGAGACCCTTTACACTAGGTAAGAACTCTAAATCATTACAACAAGTAAATGCCACTATCTCGATAATAGCTAACAAAGATAATTCTCCTATACTTAACTGCCCAGGTCAAGCACTGACTCTTAGGGAATCTTATATTCCAATCTGAACAAACTTGAATCTTCCACCATTTCAAAATTGACAACAGTAGTCATGGTACTAGACTTTTATAACAGTGATGATGTTTAAATGAAGTTAAGGTTTTCCCACAAAATTAGCACAGGGGGCACTTAAAAAAAACTCCAGCCTAAATCTCATTTAACTTATGATAATTAAGAGGAATTTACCACATAAGTCCTGTACAATTAAAGGATATTCTTACATAGTAATTTTTAACATGAGAGAGGTCATAAAACCCATTTGAGAAATTATGGTGGGAGAGACATGACAAAGACCACTCATACATAACCTGCACAAAGTCAGGGATTTTCACAGACTGAAACTCATCCAAATTTTGCAGATTAAAAATCTACATCTTGGGTTTTTTGTGAGTGCTTTTTTTAATAGACAGTTTCACCACATTGCCCAGGCTGGAGTGCACTGGCTATTCATAGGCACTTTCATAGCTCACAGCAGTCTCAAACTCCTCTGCTCAAGTGATCCTCCTCCTCCAGCGCACACCCAGCAAAATCTGTATTCTTAATTTTAAAATCTTTGGTACATCCCTGTCTTAAAGTCAATGTTCTCTGCAAAATTAAAGAATGGAGGTAGAAGAGTTCAGTCTTTAAAAACCTGAGAGTTGGCAAGCCATAAAAGCTAAACATTTCACACTTTGAACATTTCAAAGTATCAAAATATCTTGTTGGCAAACATTAATGATTACAATTAGAGGTAAATTTTGATGCCCTGTACAAAACAAATGGAATTTCTTGACAATTCAGGGCTTCAAAGATACCTTTAAATTTAACAGAGAAAGTTCTGATGGAGTAAGCCCAATGATAAATGCCTTTAAAAGCCAAATTCACTGTAAGCAACCCACTTTTCTCCTAATCCTATAACTCAAATGCTTTTTTATTTTTGTATTCGCAACACGATTTAATGGAAAATAGTCATTATTGAACTACTTCCCAGTGTATGCTTACTTGCAATAACATTTACTATGATAGCAAGTACTGTAACAGTCACAGAAACTATATCCAAAATAAAAGGTTATATATTTTTGTTTAAACAACAAAAAATGTTTATTTTCTGAATCTTCTTCTAATGTACTTCCCTTCCTCAACTCTCGACTCTGTACTGCTATTTTTAAGTTAACCCCACTTTCAAACATGGTGAATGAAGATAGAGCATATCAGTAAATAAGGAAGTTAAAAGATGTTTAAGTTTTTTGAATTCTATAGGGCAAGAACGGGGACAGTGCTACATACACTAAAATGGGACTACCAGAAATCTCAATTTCCTGTAAAGACGAGAAAAGAGGTGAAACATCTAGCTAGGCATGAAAATATTAGGCCCCTTATCCTTAATCAATTATAAAATCAAAATCTGACAGTAACATTTCTGCTCCACTGTGCTCTACTGTAACATTTCTGCTCCACTGTGCTCTACTGCAAAGGCAGCAACCACTTGTTTACATCTACCATTGGAAGACTCCAGTTTAAAACGTCCTGGGTATTGGGGGTGGGGTCCACATGTTAAGAACACCCTAAACAAAGAGGATCCATCCGCAACAAAATGGCAAGGGGCGGGATGTTAAATCCAATAATTGCAATGGAAGAGAAAGGATTTTTAAAAATAATTTTAAAAACCTTAACATATTAGTGCTATAGCACTATATGTAACCAAAAAAAATTTTTAAAAGGCACAGATTTTTTTCTCTGCAGCTGTTAAACTTTAAACTATTAACAATAAATTGGAACATAAAGTATCACTAAAAACTTTTTATTTCATATATTAAGCACTGGAGTACTGTGTCTGCCCCAAATTATCTGCTATAAATTCATAAATAAAATGAAAATTCCCAATGCTACTGCTATTTATGAAATTTAAAGAAAAATCTAGCACTAAAAAAAATCTTTTACAAGAAAAGTTTATACTGCATCAGTATCTACTGTAATACAGAAAGCTCAATTCACTTGAATGTTATCTACCTTTTAGCCTCTTTGCTAAGCTTCAAAATGGTAATTCTTAGGAAAAAAATGAAACAAGATAAAATTATAGAACATGTAAGAGTATCGTCCTATTTGGGTTGTCCCAGCAAAAAGCCTGGTATTTTAAGAGGTGAATACTGAAGATATTATTTAACAATCATACTATCGAATAAAGTATTAGAACTTCCAAATCAAAAGTACATAAAATTTATGTTAATTTAGTTATCATCACATTTAAGTATTTTTTCTAAGGTGTACAGTTAAGGATACTAATGCTGGTTTTGCAGGTATGTATGTTTGTTTAATGTTTGCATTAGGTCTACTGAAGTCGGAGTTGAAAAAAAATGAATATATTTTATAGTAACCTGTCTTCCTCCAGACTAATCAATTCAACAGCGAAAACTGGACACCTGCGTTTTTAAAATCTCGTGGTAGACACGTGAACGAGCCTGTGAGAAATGTTTCCCCCAGAATCTTCCCTCTCTCCATTGCACAGTTCTCTCCCTACCGTTTATGGCTTTATGTCGTGATGGAGGAGAAGTGAGGCAAGTAAAAATAGAAGAAATCGCAGAATAACCTTGCCTCCCTACCAACCATCCAATTAGCTTAAAGTCCCTAGCTGGCAGGTTACCTAGTCAACAATATCTCAATTATAAACACTGCGTATAACGTGACTACAGATCACCACCCCGTAGGTTCTTTCTCCGCCACTGTCCCCAATCGGTGCCTGTCTCATTAAGGGCCCAGGGAGGTCTGGAGAGTGATGTCCAGTGTCCATCTGAAATCTCGAAGGCCCAGAAAGGAGGTGGGCGGGCCAAGGCCCGGCGGAACTGACCCCGAGAGACCAGCCGGCAGTCTCCCGGGGAGGGCCCAGCCGAGCCTTCCCTCCCAACCCGCAGCCATTCCATAGGGCGCCGAGATGCCAGAACCTCCCTCCGCCCCAGGGCGGCCCTCCCCCAACCCTCCTCCCGGACTCGGGGGAGGGGCGCCTGGGAAGAGAAACACCCCTCCCCCACGGGCACGGCTAGGCCGCCGCTCGCCCCACCCTTGAAAAGCCTGCAGGCCGGCGCCCACCCTCCTCGCTCGGGCCTCGTCCCGGGGTGGGGGCGGTGCGGGCAAGAGCGGGGGCCAGGTTGCGATACCAACCTCGCTATTGAAGGTTTTCACGGCCTCCATGTTGTCGCTGCGGAGGCCCCGAGCCCGGCGGCGGAAGAGGCGGCGGCCACTGCACTGGGTGGGGAGAGCGAGATGGGGGCGGCGGCGTGGCCGCGAGGAGGGGGCGCCGGCGGGAGGGCGGCCCGCTGCGACCCCGCGGCGGGAGTGGAAGGGCCAGCACTGGCGGGGAAGGGCTCCCTCAGGGGCAGCGAGGCCCCGGCATGGCCGCTAGGGCGGGCGGAGCGCCGTTCTGGGGAACAGAGGCGCAGCCGGGAGGGTGGGCAGCGGGCGGGGGAGGGGCCGGGCCCGGCGCCTTCCCTTCTCCGCCCCGCTCGGTCTCGGTCCCCTGCCCTCTAGCCCCGTCCCCTACACTCTCCACCCCCTTCTTCCTCTTCCTCCGACAGGCTCCTGTTTCACCTCCCCGCCGCTCGGGCCGCAGGAACCAGCAGCGCACGGCGAAGACAGAGGAAGAAACGCTGGCAGCAGCGGCTGCGGCATCCAATATGGCGGACACGAGTCGGGCCGCGCAGCTCGGAGATCCGCGGCGCCGGCCAGCGCGCCCCCTGGCGATTGGACCGCGCGGGCCCCGGCGGGCGCGCGGAAACCATCGAGCGAGCGCGGGCCAGAGCGTCGCCGCCCGGAGGTCCCGCTCCGCTCCGCTCGGCTCGGCTCGGCTCGGCGGGTCCCGGGGCCGCCCGCGCGCTGCCCCCTCCCGCCCCCCGCAGACGCGGGAGCCCCCGCTGCGGTGCCGGCGGCTAGGAGGCCGCTCCATGGCGTCGCTCTTAGAGACACTTGAGTGTGCCCACAAAGCGGCCAGTTTAGGAGATGTGTCCCGGGTTCCGCTGTTTCCCTGTGGATTGGTCTTTTTGCACGAGCTGGGTTTAATTGCTTTTCTGAACTTTACTGGACAGTGGCCTAAAGGTTAACAGCCAAGAACCCCACGAAATTACTAGGCATCCATCTGTGCAGTAACAACGTGCCCAAGCGTTTTAACAGCACAGAAGGGAGCAAACCGAAGCCTCGGGTGCAGACGGGGGCAGGCGGAGGATGCAAGCCCGCATGCAGCAAGCCCGCCTGCAGCAGCGCGGCGCAGGAAATGCCGCCTGCAGTCCCGGGATGGGGTCGCGCAGACAATGAGTGCGTTTGTCTGCACGGCGGGAAGGGGAGCCAGAATGCACGACATTGGCGTAGGTGAGAGGCGGCCCGTCCGTGACGGAAGGTGAATTATTCTGAAGGAAGTTTACACTGGATTATTTGGAGTAAGAGGGCGAATGCAGCATTTCTTAGATGGAATAGGAAATGCTGCTAGCAAAAAGCCTTCTCTCTCATTTCGTGCAGTGTAAATAACCGATGACCATTTAAGAACTAAAATTTATTGGAACTAAAAGTTAATTTGGGAGGTCGTGGTGGAAGAATCGCTTGAGCCCAGGAGTTTGAGGCTGCAGTGACCTCTGATCCAGCCTAAGCGACCGAGCGAGACCCTGTCTCTTTAAAAGAAAGAAAAGTTAAGGGTGTATCTTGGACACAAACACTGCCGGGTTTTTTTTTTGCTGAAAGTTACTTTTCAACAATTACTTCTCCCAGGTTCACTCAAAAGGAAGACCAGGAAAGTGACAGCAGATTTGGGGGATTGTTGGAATCAAGATAGTTCTTAAGAGCCGATCCCAGTGCCACGTGAAACTCAGAAGAATAAGACCCTTCCCGACATTTGTGGGTCTTAAAGTCTACTTCGTTGACAGCTTTAATATGGGGGCTGGCTATTTAGAAGGTAAAAGGGGTAACTTCATCAGTGAGCACTCACATTTTTACCTTCAAACTCTCAAATGCTAAGTTCTCCATCTCCATTGCCTCCAATTCTCAGGCCTAGCCATGATTATCTTTTGCCAACACTCACAATAGCTTCCTAACGTCTCCTGCTTATCTTCCTACAATTTATTTTCCAGACAGTAGCCAGAGGGATATTTTTTCTGTAGACAAATCAGATCACTCCCTTGCTTAAATCCCTGCAATACTTTCCCATTGCCTGCCAAGATACTATCATAACTCCTCCCTGCCTGCCTTATTTCACATCTCTTTCCCTTGCTTTTGTCACTGGAACCACACTGGCCTTTGTGTTACTTGACAACATGCAGCGTTTTCCTACCTAGGACATGTATATATATATATGCCTTTCTCTTTGGTTGGGGTGCTGCTGCTGACATTCTTTCTATAGCTGACTCCTCATCATTTAGTCCTGCAAGAGGCCTCACCTAATCACACCATCTAAAGGAACTTGCTGTGACTTGATTAGGTACTGCACTCAGTTCTATGCATGTCAGGTTCTCACAACCGGAAATCACCGTTTTGTCCTAGGAGAGATTATTCAGTCATACATGAAATGAATGTTGACTAAATTGCTGAGGCCTGAGAGATTAAAATGCAATAAATGGCCGGGCGCGGTGGCTCACGCCTGCAATCCTAGCTCTCTGGGAGGCCGAGGCAGGCGGATTGCTCGAGGTCAGGAGTTCAAAACCAGCCTGAGCAAGAGCGAGACCCCGTCTCTACTATAAATAGAAAGAAATTAATTGGCCAACTAATATATACAAAAAATTAGCCGGGCATGGTGGCACATGCCTGTAGTCCCAGCTACTTGGGAGGCTGAGGCAGGAGGATCCCTTGAGCCCAGTAGTTTGAGGTTGCTGTGAGCTAGGCTGACGCCACGGCACTCACTCTAGCCTGGGCAACAAAGCGAGACTCCGTCTCAAAAAAAATAAAATAAAATAAAATGCAATAAGTGCAAAAGAACAAAATCAGTTGTTAGCATGTTATACTATTTGATTTAATAAAGCTTTCACACCTAGAAAGATAGAAGGCATATTTTGATTAGGAGGGGCAAAGTCAGAGGACCCCCAAAAATACTCTCTTAAAATGAGAAAGAGATAAGGCAAGATGGAAAGTAGAGAAAGGATGAAGGGGGAATCTGGGGACCCAGTGCAATGGCTAAATTATAAAGATTACTCAAAACTGCACAGACCACCAGAATGTGAAAACATCCATACACTTGTGTCTACTATATGTATGTGTGTATATACATGTAGGAGGTATATTAAGATTCTGATTCCCAACATAACAAGCCAACTCAAGCTTGTATAAGCATAAAAGAAAATTTACTTGTAGGATGCAGGTCTTTCTCATGTAACCCACAGTCAGGAATGCAGCTAAACTCAAGGGAGGGACCCAAACCAAAATATAGACAACCTAAGAGGCAGCCTAGGCTCTGTTCATCTGCCCGATTTTCCTTTCTGTTGTTTTATCATCTCTCAGATTTATGTAGTGAAACATAACTATTGCTTCTGGTTTTATAGTTCTAGACAACCAGAGGAGCTGAACAAAGCCTTTTCTTCCCAGTTCCAAATTTCCTAAGGGAAGAAGGAAGGGATTTAATCGACCCAACTGAGATTAGGTGACCATCACCAAGAAACTGAAGACCACTAGTTTGTGTTCCGAAGAAGACTGATACAGGAAATAGTGGACAGGAGTATTGCAGTCACTGGAAGAGATGTTCCAAATTATAAAATAGGAAATTTATAATCTAGGATGTATGATACTCTCTCATGAATGTAGTTCATTGGCCTGTCCCCTAAGACTTAATTTTATCTGGGAGTAACTCATAGGATCTAATTCAGCCATGGCCAAGAGGTCAGGGTCAAAAATAGTCCAGAGCAGCACTCACCATAGAACATTCTGGGAACCTAGAAATATTCTATATTTATGCTGCCCAATTCAGTAGCACTAACCTTGTGTGGCTGCTCTGCACTTGAAATAGGGCTAATGTGACTAAAGAAAATAATTTCTAATTTTATTTCACTTCAATTGACTCATGTTCAGGTGGCTACCATATTGGAAAGCACAGATCCAGCTAGAGGGTAGGGCACATCTAGATAGGGGGACATCATGACGTGGCACTAAGCAAAACAACTACTTAATTATTAGCTGTCAAAAGGAATAATATATGTATAGGAGTTACTTTTAAAGCAGGGCAAAAACCTGGAGCATTGTCTAGATCAAAACTAATTCCCATCCAGTGGGAAAAAAGAAAACTTGAGATTCATTAAGAAACAAACATTCTGGAATGCATAATCAATTAGGGTATAGAGACAGATGGAATATTACACGGCCAATAAAAATGAGTTTTAAATGATTATGGGAAACTGGTAATTCTGATTCGATTTTTTTTTAAGTCTAGTCAAATGAAGCAGTGGGAGTGGAGAAGGAGCAAAGGCATGTGTAACTGGTTGTGATCAATTAGTTGTAAACAACCATTGCACTTGAACCAGCCTATAGTTCAAATATTGACTTAAATTTGACATTTATTCCCCAGTAAGTAAACTAGCAGATTCATATCTTTCTTTTTTGATATGAATCTTTCCTTACTTCTAACACTTACACTGCTGACCCGAGTTATTTGCCCACCCCACAAACACAATTTTTCCCCATGTTTTCCAAATTAGCACTGTTACAAGTTGCTTATAAGGAGATATTTTGCATATCTTAAAATTACGTGGCACTACTGTGAAATAACACAATTGTGCTTACTATAAAAATTTTGGTTCATTTCAGCTCAACACTTTAAGACCAAATTATTTTGTTGCTATAGAATAAAAAAAAAAGAGAGACTATATGATCAAAAAGCCATTTCCTTATTTTCTTATACTCAGTCTAACTTCCTATCAGTCTTAACTTTACAAACACGTTATAAATTGAGGGCACAATTATGGGAAGCATCAAGATGATGAAACAAGGCTTCACAAGGTGATGACATCTTGTGATCACTGTATTCTTCATATGTTTGCAAATTAGCAACTCAATTTGATACATTCAGAGTACATAAGAGCCTTGTGGACAAGCTAATGACAATAAAATATGCAAGAGATTGATATATATATATCCCTCACAATGCAAATATATTAATTTACTATATGTCTCTTTCAAGTGACTGAATTCCCTGGTCTCCAACTTAAAACAAATCTTCAATGTCAAGGTACCTAGGAAACTAAACTAATAATCTGAAGGTAGCTTTGAATTATTAAATGCTAGAAAGGAACTGTTAGTGATTAGAACTTTTATATCCCTCCACCTCATGGGGGCTACCCAAGCTCCAGTGTTCTATTCCCTGAGGCTTCACTGAATGAACACTGCAAACATCTCTGACAACTGTTATGCTTTTTCTTTGAGATAGAGTCTTACTCTTTCACCCTGGCTAGAGTGCAGTGACGTTATCACACACTGCAACAACCTCAAACTCGTTGGCTCAACCAGTCCTCTTGCCTCAGCCTCCTGAGTAGATGGGGCTACAGGTGCACGCCACCACACCCAGATAATTTTTCTATTTTTAGTATAGACTGATATCCATCTTGCTCAGGCTGGTCTTG